GGAATCAGCTTGAGGCCTACAAGCTTATTTTCTTCCTTTCTACATTTAACGTTGTGAAACTTAGAACAAAAGGGAGACAAAAAGACAAGATTCTAAAGGATTCTACTCTGCATAAAAGCACATACAGTTGAGGAGATTTGTTCAAGATGGCAGAGTAGAAGGACGTGTGCTAACTCCCTCTTGCAAGAGCACCAGAATCACAAGTAACTGCTGAACAATCATCAACAGGAAGACACTGGAACTAACCAAAAAAGATATCCCACATCCAAAGACAAAGGAGAAGCCCCAGTGAGGTGGTAGGAGGGGCATAATCACAATAAAATCATATCCCATAACCACTGGGTGGGTGACTCACAAACTGGAGAACAATTATACCACAGAAGCCTACCCAGTGGAGTGAAGGTTCTGAGCTCCACATCAGGCTTCCCAACCTCGGGGTCTGGAAACGGGAGGAGGAATTCCCAGAGAATCAGACTTTGAAGGCTGGCCAGATTTGATTGCAGGACTTTGATAGGTCCAGAGGAAACAGAAATTCCACTCTTGGAGGGCACACACAAAGTAGTGTGCACATCAGGACCCAGGGGGAAGGAGGAGTGACCCCATAGGAGACTGAACCAGACCTACCTGCTAGTGTTGGAGGGTCTTCTGCAGAGGTGGGGGGTGGCTGTGCCTCAATGTGGGGACAAGGACACTGGCAGCAGAAGTTTTGGGAAGCACTCCTTGGCATGAGCCCTCCCAGAGTCCACCATTAGCCCCACCAAAGACCCTGTAGCCTCCAGTGATGGGTTGCTTCAGGCCAAACAACCAATAGGGAGGGAACTCAGCCCCACACAACAGCAGACAAGTGGATTAAAGTTCTACTGAGCTCTGCCCACCAGAGCAACACCCAGCTGTACCCACCACCAGTCCCTCCCATCAGGAAGCTTCCACAAGCCTCTTAGATAGCCTCATCCACCAGAGGGCAGAGAGCAGAAGCAAGAAAAACTACAATCCTGCAGCCTGTGGAATGAAAACCACATTCACAGAAAGACAGACCAAATGAAAAGGCAGAGGACTATGTAGCAGATGAAGGAACAAGATAAAACCCCAGAAAAACAACTAAACGAAGTGGAGATAGACAACCTTCCAGAAAAAGAATTCAGAATAATGAAACTGAAGATGATCCAGGACCTCGGAAAAAGAATGGAGGCAAAGATCAAGAAGATGCAAGAAATGTTTAACAAACACCTAGAAGAATTAAAGAACAAACACCTAGAAGAATTAAAGAACAAACAAACAGAGATGAACAATACAATAACTGAAATGAAAAATACAGTAGAAGGAATCAATAGCAGAATAACTGAGGCAGAAGAATGAATAAGTGACCTGGAAGACAGAATGGTGGAATTCACTGCTGTGGAACAGAATAAAGAAAAAAGAATGAAAAGAAATGAAGACAGCCTAAGAATCCTCTGGGACAACATTAAATACAACAACATTTGCATTATAGGGGTCCCAGAAGGAGAAGAGAGAGAGGAAGGGCCTGAGAAAATATTTGAAGAGATTATAGTCGAAAACTTCCCTAACATGGGAAATAGCCACCCAAGTCCAGGAAGCGCAGAGAATCCCAGGTAGCATAAACCCAAGGAGAATCATGCTGAGACACAGACACAGAGTAATCAAATTGACAAAAATTAAAGACAAAGAAAAATGATTAAAAGCAATAAGGGGGGCTTCCCTGGTGGCGCAGTGGTTGAGAGTCCGCCTGCCGATGCAGGGGACACGGGTTCGTGCCCCGGTCCAGGAAGATCCCACATGCTGTGGAGCGGCTAGGCCCGTGAGCCATGGCTGCTGAGACTGCACGTCCGGAGCCTGTGCTCCGCAACGGGAGAGGCTACAACAGTGAGAGGCCCGTGTACCGCAAAAAAACCCAAAAACAAACAAACAAAAAACTATGAAACTTAGATATATTTTATCTTACATTTAACTTATAATGCAACTCTGCCCTAATGACTAGAACAAAGCAAGAATGGGTTCTGCTGACACTTTTTGGCATATGTTTTCTGACAAAGTCATATAACATGATCCAATTTCCTCGAATTTACTTTTCACTTTTGCAGCATAAAAGAGGTTCATTTCTGCAAATATATTAGAAAGATCCACCAATTTTTCCTAATGCCCTCTCCTATTCTTTGCTATTCAAAACATGCTTTTCTTAAGTTCCATCCTGTCACCTTCCTTGTAACTTCTACAATTGTCAAGCTGTCTGATTCTGGCAGGGCCTCATCTGTCAGATCCCACCAGTTCAGCACCATCACTTTCAGTAACTTCATGGAATTCTACATCTTTAGCCAGATTCCCTAGTTTGTTTCACAAATTAGATTATGTTTTATTTGTATTATATTACAGAATCTTCACATCAGCTGGCAATCAGCAGGGAATGGACCGACAGGGGCCTCAGAGGAACAGTTACACAAAAGAGATACTGGAGTAGAGGCCGACTGTATAGTAGACAGTTAACTGGGAAATGTGTCAGCTTTGTAACAATTTTTACTTCCCTACATAACCTCATAACCCTTTGTGCTTTCCTGCACAGGCAAATGAGATGAAAAAGAAGTGGGTGTATTTTCTAATGGCAGACTCTACTGTGGACAAATGATCTTAGGGCAGAAAGAAAAGTTAGAAGATGGAAATTCATTTCCATACCCTGCCACTCATCAAGATTCATTGCCATGTGTAACCCAGAGTAACCTCAGGTTCAGTGCTTGCCCTTTGAGATCTACTGTGAGATCTTGCCTTATCTGACTCTGGGTTAACAATTCTTGTCTCATTTCAGATGCTGCTTGGTAATTTTATTTCTGAGAATAAAGGCTCAATCACAGGTCAACCTTAGGGAAAAAACCCGGAAAAGGGGGTATCCAGAAGTGTGGTCTAGGGGAGACTGCAGTTGGGGAAAGTGAAATAGAAGAGGGACAACAAGAAGAATGTCAATTGGGCATAAGTAGATGAGACTAAATTCCCAGTCAGCCATATTCTCAGGGTAAACTTGAACAGCATAACATCCAGAATATGCCCAAACTTATCTATAACCAGAATTGGACCAAAGACCACACCCCCACCCCTGCAATCTCATCCATCCCTTGGTTGTATTAATACAGTTTATATTTATTACATTTTCTTTGTATTGAGATGCTGGGTAACTGGCTGATCAGAGTGAGTCCCTAGGAAGAAAGGGACCACATGTCCTACTCATCTTTGTATTTTCACCCTCTCTTCCTTCTCCACCACGTGCTCCCTCTCTTCCTTGCACATAGTGATAATCAATAATTTGTTTATTGAATTGAATCCAAGCCTTCCAGGCAACATCAAATCTGATGCTCATAAAGAAAGGGGATAGGAAGCCATACCAGGAAAGGCCCTGAGATGTAATTCTTCTATTAGTCTAAAGCTAGAGGGTAAAGAAACAAAAAAAGGTAGTTCTGACCAAACAAACGAGGTTATCTGGGGTGAGAAACAATGGAAGACCTTTGTACTTAATCCATCTTTTACCCAACCCTGCTTTTAGAATAGAACTGAACAAAACAACCTCTCAGCAGTGAAAGGATGACATAAAAGGATGCTCTTAATGTTCAACATTGCTAAATTCCTTCTCCTACTATGAAAGCAAAGACATTTATAATCATCGCTTCCTGGTTTAAAGATTTCCAGGGACCGATCATGTTGCAAGCCCGTAACTCCATCCAGTCTAAGATGCCTCATTAATCACTAAGAATCTGAAAAGGTCCTGACAAGAGATCTCTTGACTTCAGAATTGTTAAGATCTCTTTCAACGGCTGGATGCCAACCCTTACCCTGCTGTTTTCCCTAACAATTCCTGCACCCAGTGCCTTCAGTGCAGAGACACAGTAAGGTCTCTACATCCTTAATATAGGAAATCTTCTGCCTTCACCCAAAGTACCAACCTGACAAATGGCCTACTGGACATCCACTGAGGAGTCTATGATAGCTGTCTTCAAAACAAATTAAAGAACTTCATTTTCCAATACCATTTCAGGCATAATTACTCTGCTACTAACCATTGCTCTACTCTCATCAAGCTCAAGAAGAAACAGTCTAGGACAACCTCAGGTCCTTTGCAAAGGTCATTAATCTTTTAACAATCTTTGAGTATACTGTCAAGAGCTGAGCTGTGACCAAATTACATAACCTTGGTAAAGATTCTAGGCTTCTTGTATCATCTGAGCAAGTCTAATAATCTTCTGCTTAAACCAAGTAAAAAGGCATGACAGATGCAGTCCCAACATTGGATTGTTTTAAACTAAACCAATGTACTTGGCAGTCACTGTCCAGTACATAAATATGCAATACTAAATAACCCATCCAAAAGATCAAATCATTAGACCACCACTTAGATTGTATTTAGGGATGCTTTTCTACTTACAGTCACCTACAGCACTGGACCAAGTCAGAGTTTTATTTCGGCCAGGCATTAAATTATTAAGATATTTCCTATTTTCCAGAATAAGGGTAATTTTTCCCATCTCACTGGAACAGAATTCAGATATCTCAATCAAGCCCCAAAGTGATGGAGAAGATTCAAGGTTCTTCATGGACTTTTCAGCCAGTGCTTGTGCGGAGAGAGTCTGGGCCTCCTGGGAAGAGTATAAGGCCATGTCCGACCATGAAGGATGTTGGGAACCTCCTTCTCCCAACAAAGTCTGCTCCCAAAGTCTGGCAGCAGCATAGCTCTCACTGCAAGCAACCCAGAACAGAGAGGAAAATCTCATTTTGCCTGTCTATCATAAAATTCAGCTAAATTCAGGCCTAACCAGAGTGATCTAAATGAGGTCATCTGCAATGCCTATTCATTCACCTCCTTCGAAATGGTCTTTGCTCTGTTTTGCCCTTTGAGCATGCTATGTTCAGTCTTGTAAACTGCTTCAAACCATATGCTAGAAATAAGATATATAAAATATGCCATTCTTGGGCAAATGTCTTTTTCTTTCCTGGGACAATCTTACCTGCATATGAGTCTATTTTTCACCAAGGCTGTAAAAATCTCCTGAAATAGTTTATGCTGGGGATGTGTGCTGAAATTTCTCTCATTCTTGTAGTTTATACTGAGATGAAACAAACAGAAAAGCATTTTATAGTAAAAATTATTTAGGCTGCCTCAAAATTACCAATGAAGAGAAAGATCACCTGTATGCATGAAGATATTGAGGGATTTTGGGGATTCAATATATCACCAAAGCAAGTATCAGTTGTTAAAACAGGAAGTAGAAATTCAATTATAAAGTTAATAATAAAGATTATAGCATATATATTTCATTTTACCACATTAACTAAATTACTCCCTATAAACATTTAAGAGCTAAAACTGGTGTGAGGGAAGAAAAGGGCATATGGAGAGAAAGAATGATTGGGCACATGATCTAGACAGCCATGAAACAGGCAGACAAGAATCCCTCCCTTTACTTTACTACCCACAGTGGCTCATGGCCGCTCTAGTTGTTAACACCACTGGACGCCATGCATATTTCCTTGTGGTCAACACCACTTCAACTGTGGTTGTGGATTGTGGGTGTGGGTGTGTGTACAACAAAGTTGTGAGATATTCTAGCTTCAGTTTTTTCTTTCCTGATATTACAGCCATCAGAGAGGTTAAAAATATCCCAAAGCATTCCACTTTAAAACTGGGAAAGGATAAGAGGTAATGCACAAAAGGGTCATATCACTATGGAATATACAATACAATATTTTTGTGCCCATTAAAATAGACCAATTTAAGCCTATCTAGGTATGTTGTAAAGCTGTTTGAAAAGTGACTCGGAGCAAGTTTTGTGAATGGAGACGTAGTGCTCAAGTCACATTCTGCTTTAAAAGTTGTAACAAATACAGATAAATTAAAAAGAAAAAGAAAATAGACCAATTTTAAGATCTAGGAGAAATACGCTGGAATTACATGGATGCACCACCTCAGAGGCAGGTTTTGTATCCTTATTATTGCCATTTGTTCTGTTCTGCCTTCACAGTCTTTCAGGTGTCATGGGACTGACTTGTGTCCCTAAGTTAGCCAGGGCTGTCATTTCTTAGTACATGGACATGGGCAGACTGAATATGTAACAATTTTTAAAGAATTTTGTGTTCCTCACTAAACATGCATTTTAAAAATGTTAACTCATGTAACATCATGTGATGTTTGTGGACTATTAAAGTCATTGTCATAAAATAACAGGGAAACAAAACCTAGGCCAAATAAATAAATTATCATTCTAGAATATTTATTTATATATATATATTTTTAAATTTTTTAACATCTTTATTGGATTATAATTGCTTTACAATGGTGTGTTAGTTTCTGCTTTATAACAAAGCCAATCAGTTATACATATACATATGTCCCCATATCTCTTCCCTCTTGTGTCTCCTTCCCTCCCACGCTCCCTATCCCACCCCTCTAGGTGGTCACAAAGCACCGAGCTGATCTCCCTGTGCTATGCGGCTGCTTCCCACTAGCTATCTATTTTACATTTGGTAGTGTATATATGTCGATGCCACTCTCTCACTTTGTCCCAGCTTCCCCTTCCCCTTCCCCATATCCTCAAGTCCATTCTCTAGTAGGTCTGCGTCTTTATTCCCATCTTGCCCCTAGGTTTCATGACCATTTTTTTTTAGATTCCATATATATGTGTTAGCATATACGGTATTTGTTTTTCTCTTTCTGACTTACTTCACTCTGTATGACAGACTCTAGGTCTATCCACCTCACAACAAATAACTCAATTTCATTTCTTTTTATGGCTGAGTAATATTCCATTGTATATATGTGCCACATCTTCTTTATCTATTCATCTGTTGATGGACACTTAGGTTGCTTCCATGTCCTGGCTATTGTAAATAGAGCTGCAATGAATATTTTGGTACATGACTCTTTTTGAATTATGGTTTTCTCAGGGTGTATGCCCAGTAGTGGGATTGCTGGGTCGCATGGTAGTTCTATTTTTAGTTTTTAAGGAACCTCCATACTGTTCTCCATAGTGGCTGTATCAATTTACATTCCCACCAACAGTGCAAGAGGGTTCCCTTTTCTCCACACCCTCTCCACCATTTATTGTTTGTAGATTTTTTGATGATGGCCATAGAATATATATATTGATACTTCATGTCATTCATTATTTACATGACACTTAGTGCCAAATGACCTTAACAAACTGTAAAATAGGGAGAACCAGCTCCTGGAAGGAGGGTGGCCCACGACAATGTGCAGCTTCTAAGAGGTCTCCATGGCAACAGGAGAGCAAAACAGGGGCTGACACTTTCATTGTGAAAGGGGAGGGTGATGCTTCAACTGAAAGCCTCATGGCCTTGACAACCACAGCCTTCAGCCATCACATCTGCTCACAGCAGGTGCTTCTTTATGCCTCCTCACAGCTGGCAAGATATGCACCAGCCAAAAGCTAAAGACAAAGCTTGTTATCAGCCTCGTCAGGTCAACAGCCTGAGCCATTTCTTCATGGAGCAAACACTAAATGTATGTCAAGAAGGTATCCTGAAACTCCCACATCACTTTCACCTGCAGCCATTCAGCCTGCTATTCACACAGTACTTATGGGAACAGGTTAAGCACTAACTAAAATGATTAAACTAAGAATCCCCACGATAAATTTTAAAATGGGTTTTAAATTTTAGCTCCTGTGACAAACTTAAATAAATCTTTGGGCTAATTAGCGGCCCAGGCTGCTGAAGGTAAGGGACGTACTGGATTTCTTACCTAAAATTTTCAAGTTCAATGGCTTCTGTGGACTCGTGCCACTGACCTCGAGCTCTGTGTCCACCCACCCTGATGGCAGGCTCAGACTTCGTCATGCTGCTTCTGGCACTATCGAAGTTAATGGCTGGAAGCTACAGAAATAAAGGCACAGAGGACTTGAGGATGACAATTCAGCACAGGATAAAGACAGTCACAAAAGCAGAGGCGACAGTGAAGGGAATGAGTGTTTCCCCGAGCCAACAATTAACAAGTTAGCTATGTCAAATGTAGGAGTTTTCCAAGATTTAGACATCCTTGACTTAAACATTTACTCTCTCTATCTTATGCTGCTTTTTCTTCATAGCTTGTAACACCACCTGATATCTTACAGTTATTTATGTATTTTCAGTCTCCTTGGTTATACTGTCAGCTCGACACAAGCAGGAGCTTGCCTATCGCTGTTCAATGTTGTATCCCTAGTACCTTACACAGTCCTGGGGATCCAGACCTGGGGGAGGCCTGGGCATTAGGCGCTTTTGCAGCTTCTTGGGCGATTCAAACGTGCAATCAGAACAGAGAGCTGACAGATACAGCTAGAAACTCTCTGGCCTAGAGTGGAGCCCCAAAGTGAGAATGAGTCATCTTCACTCATTCTTCATCCTTACCCGTCACGTACACTGCTTGCCAACTGTAAGAGTTATAAAGGTAAAGAGATTCTATCACTTTTAATCAGTCTGAATATCCTGATTCCTCAATCATGTTTATAAAAGTTATGAAAATATATTTTAGATACATTAACTAAAACAATTTGAGCATGCCCCCATTTACAATATTAACTGGTAATTATTTATATAGTAAACTGTGATGTTATCAGTATTCAAGTAGTGTCACTTACCAACATTTACCTATAATTGGGATAACCCTGAGAATTGTTTCTTGTACCACAGCAAAGTTGAACGAAGTGCAAACAAATACCTTATTCTTTCCAAAGTACAAATGAGGAATGTTCTATAATTAGCTAAGATTTTACAGATGAGGTACGGAAAGCATAGTATAACAAAATAAACTTTTATTTTCAGTAAATCATTCTGTCCTATATAATTATCAAATAATGCTACAATATGCTGTGCTTGTTGTCCTATTTCATCAAAGCATTTGATAGAAGTCTGCATAAAGACATGGTTTCCTCATCTAAAGAGAATATGCTGGACTTCCCACAAGGCAGTCAGCTAATAGATACATTCTAATAAGGGCGTTCTTTAATAGGAAGCAAACCCTTCTTCATCATATGCCACCCATAGCTGAATTCTCAAAATATTAATAATAAATCTTATATCCTGTAAAACTACATTTCTATCTCAGTTCAGTGGGCCAATCCACAGCCACCACAAGACAACACAATGCTCAGTGGTTAAGAGAACGAACTCTAGGCCAGATGCCCTGGGTTGAAATCTACTCTTAGACAACTGCATGATCTTGAAAGTTACTTAATCTCTCTGTACATCAGTTTCCACATCATTACAACGAAAATCATAATAATTCTATGTAGTTCAAAGTTATTATGAAAACTAAATGACTTAGAATTTATAAAGCACTTGCTATGTGCCAGGCATAGTTCTCAATGCTTTATACTCTTTTAATCCCCCAAATTATTCTCATTGCACAGATGAATTTGCTAAATAAATGAGATTTGACCTTCCAAATTAGATGATTAGATGTGATAACGCAAATGATGCTAGACATGAAGTCACAGCAATGAGTAGACTGTCCTGTGTTACTCAGGACGTGGAATGACGCAGAAAACAAGAAATAGGTTTTCCAGGCCCAAGGGCTCTCAAACCCCCTTGCCGTCACCACAACTGCCAGAATAGTGACTGCCAAAGAGAAGGTAGCCAGCACAGAGAGAACAAGCCCAGTGCACTCCAGGGAGAGGGCAGAAAGCGGCAGCAGCTTGCAGCCATTCCCTTCGGCAGCAGCACGGGCAGCTGGTGTTGGGAATCCACTCATGCACACGCAGTGGATGAGAAAGACTTGACATCTATAGTTGCAAAGACCAGGAACTTAACAGGAGAATCAATAAGCAACCAGCCTTCTTCAGATAAAAGTAACGTGAGTTTGAAACCCAGTTCAAAGCTTAGAGCCTTTTCTCTTGGCTCCCCAGTCCCTTAGGCTCTTTGTGAATCCTTTATCTACCACATAAGTAGGTCCAGTGAAATCTCACCATCTGAAATAGCCACAGTCGGGGTATCCAGAGTGAAGAGGCCAGGTGAGCAGCCCCTTACAGACTTCTGTCATGTTAAGCCATTAGTTCTGTTAAGATACACTACATCCGATGGGTTATTTTGGGCAACTCAAAATCTGAATTTTCAGCATAACACAAATTCATATAGATAATTTAAAAGTGTGTCCCTTCCTACAAATGACAGACTTATAGACTCTCAGATTGTAAAACTTCCTCGGAAGGCATAGGATCCAGCCCGCAATCATCATCACCATCATCACCACCATAATCATAATGATGATCATCACGATCGCCATCATGATTGTCATCATCACCATCAACACAGATAACACTTGTGTGGTAGTTACCACATGCCAGGCACTGTTCTAAGTGTTTTGCAGGTTTAAATCTATTTAATCCTCATAACGACCGTATGAGGTAAATACCATTTTATGATGAGAGGACTAAGGCACAGAGGGCTAAGTGACTTAGGGCCCATAGTTCACAAGGGGCACAGCTGGGATTCAAATCCAGGCAATCGCCCTTCCTCTCCAACACTCTCAATACTCCAGCATCTCTGATGTATCGTCAATGATGAGAAACACTATCTTGAGTCAGCCCATTTGCTTTTCAGAGTCCTACTCTTGCCCAAGTTTTCCTTCAGGCTGAGATGAAAATCTGTCCCCCTGTGTTCTTTCCCTGTCTTTCAGCCCAGCGTCATCTCCTTTTACAATGTTAGATTTGACTGTAAGTCCACATAAAATAAATAAACAAAAAATTGGGGTGAATAAAAACAACTCCCCAAGTTGTAGGTGCATTAAACTGGTCACCCATCCCAGAAAGCATGCAGTGTAAGCATGCATCCACTCCTGCCCAGGAGCATGCTGCGGACACAGCTGCTGACCACTTTTCAGGGCTCAGCACACACAGCTCCTGGAGATCGCCTGCCCCAGCCTCCCTGGTGGAGCCAGTCACTGCCTCCCCAGTGGCATTACTGTGCCAATCTCTCTTACAGCACTTATCACAATCCCATACTACGTCTGCATGACACATCAGCCTTTCCCCCTGAATTTGGCCACCCTGAGGGCAGCATCACATCTGTCTGTCTTTCTGTTCTTAGCACCTCTCACAGATCCAATGGGAATGGGATACCTACTTTACCTACTGTGGAATGGGAAGTTCACTTCATCCCCAGTCTCTTTGCTAAACTGATTCATCTCCAGACAAGTTCATTCGCTCAGCGCGTGTGTTGCAGACACATCACTTGCCAGATGTGTGAGACACTGGGTATATAGTGAGGACAGCCACAGCCTCTTCCTTCTCAAAAAGTTTACAGCCCAATGGGGGGGTCGGGGGTCATCTAGCAGTAGAACACACAGCAAAATGAGTGAACAAGGGTTTGTTGTGGTAGAAAGTAAAAGAGAGATAGGGTGGGTCCCGGACCAGGATGCCTGGAATATTCCAGAGTATTCCAGGCAGATTTTTGCACAGGCTGGAAGGTAGAGAGAAACTACATGTGCTCTAGAAAGTGGCAGGTCTCTGAGCAGCTTGAGTAGCATGAGTGGAAAGGAAAGAGACTAGAGATTCAAGTGAAGGACCTTCCTAAAAATTTGATCATGTCACTTCTGCCTGGAAATTTCAACCTTCTCTGTTGCTTATGTGATAGATACAAAATTTGTAGATAGGCCTTCAGACATTGCACAGTTTCTTACAGCTTTATTTATCACTACTTTCAACAGAAATGTCTAGTCACCATTTTGCTTCAGTGCATGTTATTTTCTTTCCTTCAGATATTTGATTATTTTACTCGCTTCACCCAGAATGTCTTTCCCATCAATTCCACCAGAGGACAGCCAGCCCATTTCCCAAGAACCATGTCCTTTCCTGTGACTTGAGCTAAAAGTGGCCTCCTCATCCTCCTCAGAATCTGCCCAGCCACTGCCCATGCCTCTCCTACAGGATTCAAGTGTCCACTGGCCGTGGAAACCATAACTGCCGTTCCTAGTCCTGGTGTCTCAGAGCACAACAGTGCCTTAGACTTTTTCTTTCCACAGCATCTATCAAGACCTCTTTTATTTCAAGGCAAGTAATGGGCCTGTAATGAATTATTTTTCTATCTTTCTTTCATCTGTTTTTTTTCCTAATTGCAAACCAATTTCTCAGCTCCCTATGGTTTTAAATGTAGGAAAAAAATTTAATTCCAGCTCAAGGCAAATTATTTCAAGACTTGTGAAAATCTCTGGTGAAACCTCCAACCAACTTTATGATTTTACTTTGCTTCAACAACCCTGGGGCAATTCTTTTTCTTGAAGTATTTGGTTTTACTGGATTATGATTATTCTTACCCTGCTTACGATGAAAGGGCTCCTCTGCCTCAGTGTGTCTCTGTCCCCATTTCTGTGACAACAGAACTGTCCTCAGAACAGCAGTCTCTAAGATGGTGAAGCAAGGTACGCAGAGACTCACAGAGCAAACGGGATGAGGGCGAAAGTAGAACACGGGAACAGACGCAACAATGGGGAAGGGCTTGGCTCATTAGAAATTCAGATGAAGGACATCCAGTTCTTGTAATACTCTGCCCAAACCCACAAAGTACACTTCCCTCTGCAACTGCTTAATTAGCCATCTTGGTTCATTTGCAAGTGACAGGTCAGTTCTTGTTAGAACAGAAATTCAGGTGAGTGGGCCTTAATCCCCAGGCTTCCCTTTTCAAACTGACTGCTAAAAATCTTAGAGCCTAACGTGTGGCCAACTTGCATATTTTGATGGTCATTTCCTCTGGACTCTGAGTCTACTTTGTTCCCAAACCTTGCTTTTCTTTTATGATAATCTGAGTACTTTACATATTTTCATAAGCCACCTTACACTCTTTCTGGAGCAATCAAGATATAAACAAATTCTTGATTTATCCTCTCCAATATCTTTCTTCTC